GGCATTAGGGAAGTATAGAAGGCAAAGGAACTCCAATTTTCCTCATGAATAACATGAGGGAAATTTAGAAGACAAAGGATTCTTTTGTCTTTTACTAAATTTCCCTCTATTTAATTTATGCAAGGGAGATTTAGTATTGTCTTTTACTAAATTTCCCTTGCATAAATTAAATAGAGGGAAATTTTGCAAAAGACAAAAGAATCCTTTGTCTTCTAAATTTCCCTCATGTTATTCATGAGGGAAATTCGGGTTTGTAAACCCCTCGGAAGACAATGGAATCTGAGGTGATCATGGTATTACAGTAAGTTATTCCCATTCCCATTAACTATCCCATTCATTTTTCTTTCTCATTTCAGTTTGCATTGGCAGAGGACACCATCAAAGAATATCATCTAAACATGGTTTGTGCCTGGAAATCCATTGTAAACCCATTATGTTTGGTGGTGTAATGTTTTGACTTTTTCTAGGACCAAGCTGCAGCAATGTATGACTGTGCAAACATGTTTTCCACTGATGATACTGGTGGGAATGTTGAAATGGACATTTCATTGATTCATGGTATAAACATGATTACTTTCCCTTTTCTCCTTATTTTATCCTCCTAGCTTCCCATCCTTCTTTGTTTCCTTTCTCTTTTTTTTCATCTTCCTTGACCTATACCCTCTCACCTGTCCTTATGTGTGTTCCCTATGCTCCTTGTTTGTTCCTCCATTTCATGTAGTATTATAATCAACCAATCATGTATCTTGTGGCAAGTAGTAATGATATCATGGTTTAGGTGTATTTGGTGCTGGTAAAAGCTATCTTCTAGCTGTAATGATTGTATATCTGGTCAAGTTGTTCAACACTACTGAACACAATCCAAAGATACTAGTGTCGTCTACCACCAATGTTGCTGTAGATCGCATACTGCTTGGGTAAGAAATAGAAAATTGATAAAGAGTTGAGTATCCCCTCCTATCTCTGAATCCATCACTTACATACTTCCTCCCTCTCTCATTTCTTCCCTCCTTCCTTCCTACATACTCCCTCCCTCCCTCTTTTCCTCTCTACTTCTCATTCTCTCCCTCCCAC